CTGGTTGCTTAATGAATGATTTAGTTAAATGGGCAAGCAAACCCAAAAACACACACAGAGCCTTACCCAGCCTGAGTATTTGGACCAAATTCAGCCGCTCAGAGACCTCACTTACAGCTCAAAGTCCAAAAAGTGAATGGAAAAGTCACAGAGTGCTTCTGTACCTTAAAAACAGCTCTCAAAGTGTCACTCTAGATTCAACAACATAAAGCACACACCTTTACCTTGAGAATATTGATCCACGACTACAAACTCTTGCAAATGCATCAATTGCTTTTTTCCTGCTTTTCCAGTAAGATGTGACTTCTTTGAATCAATAGGCCATAGAGCCTTTCCTGTTACAGGATGCAGGAGATCATAACAAAGGCAAATACCTTTATGAAGATACATCACAATGTGCTTCTCTCACCATAATTTCATCCAGACAAATTAGGCACTCAGTATCTTCCAGATGACAGCTTTGAGAAGTACCTGGAGATGTCAGGCACAATCACAGCATCTCTGCTGAGCACATAGCAGCCAGTAACACTACACAACACTTAGAAAACAAGAGAGGTGAGCAGAAGGGAGTTTCAGCTCAACTCAGATCAACTGGAATCAGCAAGTTTAAGTCTGACTAGAAGATTGATCTGCATCTGTGATAAATGCTGTGTGATCTTTGATGACAACTCAGTATTGATTACCAGGCTGAAGCTATTGAGAAGAAACAGTACTGTGCCCAAAAACGACTTGCACCAACATCTCGATCTTTCATTCAGTCACTGATCCCACCCATCCCTGATCTGCTTATGAGATCTGCAGAGATCACAGCCCAGGAGGCCACGGTTAGTGCACATTTTTAGAAGAGCAGTGAAAAGCTATTGCCGAGGGAGCTTCACTCACTGCAGAAACACTAACAACTAGTAGTAGACATCAGTCTGCTTCAGTGAGGAAGACAGAAAGCCCTCAAAAAGACAATGCTGTAACATAAAAAACTCAGAACACCACCTCAATCACATGCCAGCATAGTTTCCTTGTTCCCCATCACATCCTGAAAGCTGTTTGTTTTTGTGTGCATTAGGAAACACTGCTGCCAACATACTGACCACTAAACAGGGGAAGGGAGGTTGTGGCTTCTCACACACAATAGAGTGACTCTCCCTTAAATCAGGTAAGCATGAAGCTATTCCTAGTGAAGGGTAAGTAAGAAGCTAATGATGGTTATTAATAGCTCTTAAAGCTATCAGTTCATCTGAGTTAAATGCAAGAGTATTAATCCCTTTATGACCTTCCTTTAGTTTTACTGGGGAAATGGACAAAGTTTCATTAAATACTGCTGCTAACCTCAGATTTCAACTACTTTAAACGCTGAAATTACACTAACCTGAATCTACCAGGCTCTGTTATGTATACATATCACTGAGGACACAGACCAGAAATGGTAGGCAAAAGCCTTTCCTCTTAATGCTTTTTGAAATTCAATAGGATTTTTGCCACAGTCTTCCACAGGTATTGAGTCTACAATTTAATCTGCCACAAAGCATGCCTAGGTATTATACATCACTCAATATGAGAAACTGAACTGTAATGATAAAGGTGATAAGGATTTCTTCCTGTTCTTCACTTAGTCACAAATCAGTAGTCCAGAAAACTTCCTCATGTAGCAAGAAAAACTAGAATAAAACCAAGCCTTAACCTGAAATACAAGAGCTACATCTTGACCAGAAGCATAGAAGAGAAGAAATAGTAAGAGATCTGTACTGTTCAGATTGAGAAGTCTTCCTCTGCAGCTCTACTACACATGTGGATAACTAAGCACCTCCATAATATAAAGATAACAAAATGTAACAAAAGATAACAGAATACAAAGCAAGTATTGGGGAACAGGAAAAACACTGATTTTTCAGAGACTGGTAGAAGTTCTAGACACCTTGGTCCTTCATTTTCTGCTGCTGTGCTTCTTGAGCCTTTCCTCGAAAGGACAATGCAGAACGTAGGTACCAACAAGCCAAAGGTCTGGTTTGAAATAGCAAAAAGGAAAGTAAGACAAAATTTCATGTGCTAGATGACACTCTACCTTTACTCACCTTGGCTTTAGCAACAGCTTGCTAATAAAGAGGGGAGATATGTACATGAATCTGCTCAATCTATAAAGTGCACACCTGGAAATGCACTTGGTCTAAGAAGCTTGGTACTACAAAGCAAACCTATGTACTTATCTGTGAAATAGTACTATTGGTTTTAATTGTGGTTTGTGGTTTGATTTTGTTCAGATTGTCAAGAGGCTTTGTACAACTCAAAATATTTTAAGACCACAGTGTACATTTGTTCGAGTTGCTTACTGTTCCTGCACAGAAAAAGTAAGAATTTACTATTCTTATTACATGATAAAGGTAAGGTAAGAAAACCATGGTATTTGAATCAATCTGTGAAATGTTGCATGTTTTCCTCAAAAACTATTTTATGTTTTTGCAGACATAAGAACTATGTCTAGGCCAACCACAACAAAAAGAGATAACTGTGACCTATGTTGTCTAATGGGAACTTATGCAACTGAAATATGAAAGTATTGAAGTTACACTGACTTTGTACTGAAACACCTTCTTTCTCAGCTTTACCTAGTATCAATCTCTTGTACAGTAGATATTACCTAGGGCACAACAACTACCCCTGCAACTGCTCAGCAGATTTGTCCAACATAGGATCATGTTCATCTGCACTGCTGCTCTTTATCTTGGAGTTGCTATCTCAACAGAAAAACAGACATTTTGAAACGAAAATCTGATTAAAAATATGACAAGGATAATCTAGAATTTTTTTTCTCTTGCATCCCACCTCTCCTCTACTATATTCTTTAAATATGAGCAAAACTCAGTCATGCCCAGCAGGTCTTGACTGCATGCGAGAGTGAACAGGGACTCTGACCAAAAAGCATCCTTGAACATCCTAACTGATGCAATATGAAAATTCAACTGGATTGGTCCAAGTCAGTACATTAACAACTTGACTGCCCTCCAGCTCATTGTAAGATCCAGCATTAAAGGTAAACACCAGAAGCAGGAGCAAGGCAAGGGAGCATAAGAGCCAGGCTCATGTGCACAGGAGCAGCCACAGTGTCAGTACAGCTGACAGCTCACCCAGAGCTCCAGCTGCTCCAGTTGTAGTTTTGGCAGAATGCAGGACACCTGAGGATGACTGAATACACTGATGGAGACAGGAAGGACAAGACTTGGGAAACACGAACTGTTTCCAAGTTAACCTAATCTATTGCTTGCACGGTCCCACTTCCTCTTCAATACTGCATGTATTTAAACAAGGATTATGTTCTGCTTTTAATGCCCTAAGGCTTGAAAATATAACAGCAAGGGGAACAGTAATAAATATTTCAACTAATTATCATGAAGGAAACGCAGGGCATATTTGTTAACACTGAATTCACTGTGCTGGAAATGAAAAACGTGTTTAGGAGAGTTGGGACTCCCACTTCTGGGCCCACTGCATGGCTGGAGGCACAAGTTGTTCTGATCTGCCTCCTAATCTCCACCATCCCAGAGCAGGGTAGTAAATTCACAGCACTGCCCTGCATTTGACAAAGGAGCTGTTTCACTCTCAGCACATACAGTTACTATATGGGAGAACGCCAAAGGGAGGAAACAGCAGAGCCCTCTAACCTAGTGAGCTGTCCAGACAGCAACTGTATGTGACAGGTGGGAAGTGACAGATCCCAGCAGACTCTTGAGACAAGGTGCTTTATGGATTTAGAGCATCTCCTCTGTGATAGTAAATTCTTGCCCAGTCCTGGAAACCGAAGACAGCAGTGTGCCAGCCTACTTAATTACAGGTTTAAGAATCTGAAGGGCTAGAATCTATTTTAAGGTGTTACTAAGGAAAAGACTCAAAAAACCCAGTATTAGGACAGTTTATTTCTCCTGGTGACTTTGATAGGTGGAATCTGGACAGCTGTCAGGCGAGATGGGTAGTCAGGACAAATTATCCCAACACATCAGAAACGACTTTTTTACCCTACTCAAAGTTAGTGTTGGTGAACCCCTTTCTGTAACATGACAGTGCCTTTCTAGTCCCTTATACATAAGCTACACCCCATCTGTTATCAAAATCACTCTAGGTCTCCTCAGAGTTAACCACTGCTGAGCAGTGCACAAAGCAAGCCCTGCAGTTGTACCATAATGTGAATGTTCTCCTGGCGTCATTTCACGTTAAAGCTAAAAAACCACAAAGAGGTTTCTGTGGAACTGACAGACAATATATGATCAATGCAATACAGTGTACACTAAAGCATGATGCACATTAAGGTTTCTGGGCTGGATCAGACACAGCCCAGATAAATAAGGTTGACATGTGAAGACTAGACACAGTCTAGTATTCTTCACATGCTATTACAAACTGTTAAGTAGTGTATTGAATGGATTTTACTGGACTTATAATCTGTAGATACTACAGATATTTTTGCATTGCACCACAGCAAGACCTCAGATTGATTCCATCATACACATGCTCCCAAATTAAGAATACAAATCATATTCCATAAAACAGTACAGTGTGTATACATATGGGTGTATACAGCCTTCCTTGTGATATTCTACTCACTTTGAAACACAACTACAACATGCTACCAAGAACAAAGGAAAAGAGGATGCATGGCTATATAGGGGTTCACATTTCATATAATTTTTCTTTAAACACACCTGTAACAGCTTCTACAAAAATGCTATTAGAGCCATCATGTAAATCCCTATATCTGCCTTGAATTTTTATGCAAAATAAATGGCTGTAGCTTGCATTTTGCAGAATTTACTTAACAATCTCTAGAATTTTGTATCCAGCTGCTTTAAAATAGCAAACACAAGAATAAGAAGATAATTTGGTAGCATTCGTCCTCATTAAAAGCAGCAGAAATGCAAGGAGTTGGATCTCTGGAACAGAACCAGGTCTGATTTGGTAACCCCTATCATTTTATACTTCCATAACTTTCTGTGAAAATCAAGCATATCTGACAGTACCTGTTCCTCTTTTTCTTTGGTCTTGCTCCTGGAGACTCTGGAAGAGGTAACATCCTGAGCTGGAATGACAGAGATTTGATGCAGTGGCATGTTCATCACACCGCCTTGTTTGGTCCTATCATTTACAGGAAGGAGGCTTGAACGCAGTGCTCATTCCGTGCCATTGTAAGGCCTTGCAACTAGAAAATAAAAATATTAGATGATGTTAAAGTAGCTTGAAATGCAGTAATTTCTAAACCAAAGCTATGTTATCCACTGGACCAAGACATATGTCTAATTTTCTCTGTATTTTGGTGCACTTGCTGGGTGAGAAGAGACACAGAAATTCTGAAGAATTTTAACTAGACAGGTCAGAGCACAATTAACACGAAATGAACAAATAAATTCTCAACCAGTTCTGAAAGCATTCTGAGAGCAGAGCTAGAGGGCAGGGATCATGCTTGAGTTTGCTTGGACAGGGAGAAGGAGAAAAGTAGCTTTCCAAGTAGAGCATGCTACCTGGAGGTGCAGAGAACAAAGCTCATACAGGTAAGTTTCCTAAACTGCCAACCCCCCCAAATTGCCTCAGGATTCACTAAAACAAAGTGAATGCTGTAGCTTTGCTAAAAACAGACAATAGCCCTCATTTGTCAATTTGGCTCTTGTCATTCATATAAACCTGTACCACTGTCAGTTGAAAGATGTATCACATGAGTTGTTCCTTTCCTAAGACTATTAGAGATTAATATAATCAAAATCCCTCACTAGGGATTGTGAATTCACTGGATGGACTAAACACACTTTATCCTTCTCTTACTCATGTAACAGGGAAGTATTACACATAGGAAAGATAGTGATAGACATAAATTAGCCAAAATTGGCAATGCTAATCTGAACGGCAGGCATAATTAACCATATATTTTATTAGATTAGTGAAGTTACATTAAATAAACAGCTTTTTGAAACACGTAATATCATGGAGTGTTTATCTGGAATGTAACTTGCCACAAATGAGACACAATCAATTGTGTTTAAAGAACAGATTAGAAGGGCATTAACACAGCAGGGACTATGTTAAACAGGACAACTGAATGGTGCACTGTTCTTCTGTTTCCATAACATACCAATTTTTTGTTTGGGTGGTTTTGAATCTGAAAAAGTCAAAAACAGAGACTAGATAAATGTCCTACGTATTATGTTGCTTAATTTGGAAGCATAGCTTAACACTTAGTGCATACACTTAACTTAGCTGCACGCACTTTTTATTTAATATTTAATTGGAAGTTTTGAAGATAGAACCAGACCATTCAGCATCTTTTGTGGAATCAAAAATCTAAAAAGCTTGGCCTATTTCCACTAGACTCCACAGGCATGCTGCAGTTGTGTAAAATGGAAACAGGATCAACTATTTTGACAGGTTTTGACTAAACAATAGGGGAAAAAAATTAAGTTTCAAGTCACTTTATATAGAGAATGACAGTTCACTATCCTCTTTTCACTGAGAGGGAAAGAATTATCAAAGGTCATAGAGCAAATTGTGAACAAAACAAAAAATGCATACAAATGCAACCAAGCAATGCTGCATCCCAATCACACACTCCCTGTGCTGCGTGATGCTGCCTGCCTGCTCGAGCACTCAGCCAAGTTCAAGAGCTTTACTGACACGTGGGCAGGATTTGTATTACTCCCACAGAGGCCAGGACACAGCACCATACAGCACGTACCAGAGCTTTAAAGGCAACGCCTCCAGAACTTTGTGGCAGCACTTACTTTAGAAGTAAAATGTATCAGTATGCATAAACTAGCAACAAGGATACTTCCTTACTGGAGGACAAATGGAAACATGAGCTTTACCAGCATTATTGAATCCCAGTATAAAGAGAAAACACAGAACCTCCTCAGATCCTCCCCACACCTGCTTAGTTACATCCTCTAAAAGAGCCAAACCAGAGGGAATATAAACAAACATGGGCTGAGATGAGATTATCAAACCACAATCAACAAGGCAGGAAGGGAAGGTATTTTCCCAAGAAAACACAGAGAAAGGAAATCCAGAGAACATTAAGCTTCAATGAAAATATGCCAGGTTTTATGTTCTGTGCTATTGCCAGTGATAACAGAACAAAAGGGAAGGAGTTCTGCTCTGTGTCCCCCCCTCAAAAAGGGTTCTGGGTTTGCAGGCAAGGACACGTTATGACTATAAAGAGAACAGTAAAATTATTGGAAAACACAGTTAACCCTCTCTGATGATGGCAAACAAGTCAAACCAGTTTTTTTGCAGGTACTTCAAGGACAGCATGTGTTAGAATTCTTTGAAAGAGCTCAAACAGCAGATATAATCCAACTGCATATTCAAAGGTGATGCGAAACAGCCCTCCTCTAGTAAAGAAGTCTGGCAGACTCTCTAATAAAGCCTGCCTTTGTTCAAGGGTAGCTTACAGAAAGCTGTAAACTAAACCCAGATGCCACCCTGTCACATCCCCAATCTGCTGGGTCCCTAATAACGCACACAACTCAAATTCTGTCTGTATCAACCTAAAGCACTTTAACTCCAGAGTGCTAATTAAAGGATAAAGTTACGTGAATGAACAGACCATCTGCAGTACTGAGTACAAACAGACAAGGATGCCAGAGAAGCAATGCCACTCAAATTGAGTTATGACAAGTTCCACAGGACATTTCACAGCTAAATTAATTCCACATCCTACCTGATTCAAAGGTGAGGAGTTGGGCACCTGCAAATTTGGATCCAAACTTGAGGCACATCAAACTGGGGGCCTGCCAAAAAGGAAGAAATGCTAATGCAAGGAGATTGCTCCTAGATAGTCCCTTCTCTTCAGGATTCCAGTTAGATGTTTAGGCCACACCTCACAAAAAATGAGAATTCCTCATTTCTACAGAATCTCCACCCAACAGCAGAGTACACTTGCCCAGGAGGAGGCAGGTAAGGGCTCAGCTTCCTCCTTCACTGTGCTTTATTTGGTTCATAACTTCCTGCAAAGCTGGCTGGGGCACATAGGAATGCCAAGACAGAAGACAGCTTGAAGCTCAGTTGCTACTCTTAGGAACCAGTGTGGCTATAGATAAAAGATGGACTCCAGCCATACTGCCATTGCAGAGAGCCTTCAGAAACAAAGGCCATTTCAAAAGACAAAGGAGGTCAAAATCCTGGCTGCAGAGCCCCCAGATGATCTTAGCTCAGTGAAGCTAAGATTTCAGCCACTCAGATAGTCCAGTTTTGCTATCTGCAGGACAAGCAAAACAATAACAAAAAATGCCTGCAGACACCTGGAACCACACCACCTGGGTCCTCATTACATTGCTGGAACCACAAAGCTGCAGCAAAATCAGTCAGATTCAGAGAAAACAGGACAGAGTCTCTCAAAGTAGTTGAGAAGTATAAAAGGAAGGAAGAGCATGCACATGACTTGGGCCTGGTGTCTGGGGCATTCCCCTGAATAGTACATCTGACAGAAGCAGAAAATTAGGTTCTTCTGGGTTATCAGCATGAAGTACTTGGTTTTAAGGAAACCTTCCAGTCTGACCATCCACATGACTCTCTGCCAGTCACATCCAACACCAGACACCTTCACTGCTGGGACCAAAGCCCCTCCAAAGCAGGTGACTCCTGTGAGCCCACGAGACCCCTGCCTGATTCCCTGCACACCCCACTCACACAGTCAGACCAGATTTCCTCACTAGCTTGACCCCAGCTTTCCCACGGAAGCATCTCAGATGTCTTGTTCCACAAAATCATTTATTCACAGAGCAGTAGCACAGAAACAGCCTGAAATGGTGCTTCTACCCCCAAAGGAGCCCTGGACTTTTAGCCCATCACAGTCTACCTGCATAAAAATCTCACTCTTCCTCCCAAGTCCCCTGCTCCTGCTGTGTCTCCCAGTGTCCATTCACCTACCTCACTGGCACCACTCATCTTCATGTCCTTGGTTGTCCAAGAGGCTGGCAATCCATGGCCTCTTGTCTCAGGCTCCCACCCAGAGCTCAATCTGCATCTTGCAAACTGAACTACCTGCACCAGATGTATCCCTCAACAATCAGAAGGGACAACAGCAACAACAGGAAACCTCAGTGTAACAGGAGTAGATGGAAACCACTTGAATTCCCACTTTAATCGTCCACTCTGTCAAGATTTCAGTTTCCCAAGTGACAGCAAGAACATGAGATGAACCAAATGATCTGTAACTTGCTGGATTGTTAGAGTGTCAAGTGCCATTGGAAGAACATAGACGGAAGTCCTCCCTCACCTGCCACCTACCGCAGCCCTCTGCCCATTACATGTTCCAAAATAAAGGCTAAACTATTCTCTGCCAAAGATTCACAACTGGAATGGGGCAAGTAAGCACAAATCATGACTTCCTGTCTGTGGTTTAGTACCTACTATAGTAACAAACATGCTATCTGAACAGCTGGGATTCTACTAGGTCATTTCTATCAGGTCATTTATACTTCAGAAACTGCACCATATTCCCTTGCTATACCAGGTATGCCGGAAAACATCAACAGACGCTCTGGAGTTGCAGTGGCACTGGCTGCAGATGTACACAGGCCTTACCAAAAGAAATGCATCCTGAGGATGCTTGTAGGTGTGTACAAATGCTTTGTATTAGTCAGAAGGTGAAAAACTACAGCAGTCAAATAGGTCAGTTGCTTTCCTGCTTAAAGTACAATAGGTATTCTGGATTGAAAAAATATGTCTTTATATGCATGAAAGATATGCCCTCGAACCTGCGGCAGAAGGAAGATGACAGTCACTAACAGAAAGGAATTGGAGAGAATTTCACTGGTGAATTGTTCTGGTCTGCCCCAAGGTTTCTTACCCTTCTCTTCAACCGCCCTCGTCCCCAGCAGTGATGGTGAGCAGCAACACCTACGTCAGTGCTCTGAATCTGTTGCAGGGTGGATGGGTTAAAAATAAAGCAACAGATCACTGATGTCCACATAATGCAGACACTGAAGTACCATCCACTGTGACAATCCTGCCAGATTAATCTGTAGACTACAGAGCACGTTCCAGATGCAGGCTGAAAATTCTGCTCTAAGACTTTGTGGATTGCTGCCATGCAATCTGGTCTTCTGAAACTTCCCCTCTACGCAGCAGAAAACCTGACCAACCCAAAATGGAATGGAAACTCCCTGAAGAAATTTGACTGCTGCTAGATGGTGTAACATCTTTATCAGCTGGATTACTTTCTCATAATAAGGCTTGAAATAATCTATTAATGCAGATTCGGAATCTGTTTTTCTGCTGGAGGTCTTGATGTGAAATCTCAAAGCTCCATTTAAAAACTTCTTTGGTTTTGTGTTTTTGTCATTGTTCCAAAGGTAACAGGAGTCCTCATCCAATGACTTTAGCAAATTCCTGTGTGCATCTTAACTTTTCCTAGCTACTTGGACATTTCACATGGATATAGCTTATGCCTACTTTCTGTACACCACATTTTCCATATTTGCAAGTATTCCCAATCCTATCAGCTTGTGTTGGCTCCAGTTTGCAGCTTTTATTTATTTCATTTTGAGCTTGTTCAGACTCTTCCCCTACTAATGTATCTTACGTAATCCTCTTCTAGAGATGACAGATGTGCATTTTCAAAAAGAGGATCCTGCATCTGCGTTTCATTTTAGTTTACTGTAGCTTAATCAGTACTTTGTTAACAGCATTATTTAAGAGATGTTATCAAGCCTCATGCACTTCACACGCATTTGTTAACTTGACAAACAAATCTAATCAAGAGAGCTTAAGGGAGAGGAACTAACACTTCCTTTCCTGCACTACCTTTCACATTTCACTACTAATGTTGTACTAACCCTGAAAAGAACCCTTGTATTCAGACCAGGCAGATATAATTCTGGATTATTGCTATTTACAGCTCTGAGTCTGCCTATACATCTTGCACCGTTTACTAGCTTAGCTGTAACTTCTCCCTTTATTATCTCAGTTCCTCCTTTCCTCCACCTGCTAATGTCCCAAAACTAATTAGCTTCAAGACTTGAAGTTCGAATATATTTTTAAATCATGTTACTGAGTAGCTAAAAATCAAAAGAAAGGCTTAGAAAGGGGACAAGAGATTCTTCTGCAAGTTCCCCATCTTCCCTTTGAAAGCTTCTCAACATACAGGAATATACATGTGTAGACTACACATGACCCACAGAGAAACAGAAGTATCTGCCAGCTCTGGCTAACTCTTCTCAAAATAAGAATATTATTATTTTTACTAATATAATACAGCTAGACAAGCAAGCACTTAAACTACAGTCTCAGTAAATAACAGTCCCAGAGCTCTTAGCAACCCCTTCCATGATTTCAATGGGAATTGAGCACGAGCTGGACCTCTGAAAAACCAGTTCCTTAAGAACTGTTCCCTTCAAATCAAATCAGCTGATAAATGCAATTATGAACTAGCTGGGCAGCATTCAGGAAAACAAATATTACTTCCCTCTGTTACAATAAAACAGTAGTACAGTCATTACAGTCCTGAGAAACAAAGAAATTACTTATTTAATTTCTTACTTAATTACTTGCTTCTGCTACTAATAGCAATTGACCTGCATCAGAAGCATCACTGATCATTCCTGATGTCCTGTGGAAAAAACAAAACACCAGGTGTTCCACACACACCTGGGGCAGTAAGCTCCTGCTACAGATGCAAAAACTTCTTTACCAACAGTGGTCTGCTGGTTCACAGACACTTTTAAGTAATGCCCTTCATATATTTTTTGATGAAATAGACCATAATAACATGAGCAATAATCCCTGGGACAGTCTCTAACAACAACAAGCAAAAAGAAAAGGAAGTAAAGCAAGAGTTTCATTCTCTACATTGGAAAGTCCTAATGGTGGAGCTGGGGAGAGGTAATAGCCAGGGCTCCTGTTTTCTCAGCCATCAAGTTCTACCTACTGCGCTGAATTCCCAAATTTATTTGCATAAGGGGGTGCCATTCACTCTTCTGCCTCAATAATCATCATTTCTCCTCATTCCTTCACATTAAAAGCATCTTCCCGTCCTGACATGCTTCTGAACAGAGCAAGTCTAGCACATGAATCACTCTCACAGCAAGCTGTGAGCCTTTACAGCTCTGCTGCAAGCAGGACATTACATCACAGCCTGTTTCAGGCTTGCCTTATCACTTTTAGCCATAACCCCATCAATTTCCAGCATGAATAGAGACTGGCTTCCTGAGAAATTAATGCTCCTCTCCAGAAGAGGCATTCCTCCCTCCAATTCGGCACTGAAGCCACCCTCTAGATCAAAAAATAGGATGTCTTAATCACACACCTTTAATTTTTTCCAAAAAAATAAAATTATAAAAGATACGGATGAAGACTTGCTTCATTATAATACCCATTGTCAGAGAAGAACATGTCACACTATTATGTCATTCCTACAGCTTTTGAGAAAAGCTGTCTTTCCTTCTTCAATGCATGTCCAAAAGTGATGCACAGGAGTAACCTACATGGATTCCATCACAGTGTGAACACAGGTTTGGGACTGGTCCACCGAGACTGCTGCAGCTGGTCGAGTGCAATTGCAGAACACCCTGCCATCAGCACAGAAGGGTCCACAGTAATACAGCTACTAAATACAAAAAACACTCCCCTAGCCCCTACTCATGTGCAACAGCAAAAACCCACAAAACTATGACACGCCTCAGAAAGACAGTGAGTGATGTCAAGGACAAGGTAACACCTCAGACCTCCAGGAAAAACTGCAAATCTATTGGGAAAAAAGCCCACATGATCATTATTACTTGGCAAAGTGCTTCATGTGACAATTCGTATTTTTTAAAAGAAAATGTAATGAAGATTATAATCCAATGGAAGAAGAGACATACTAATACATGCCTAGACCAGAGAGAGAAATTAGCACCAATTACTTGCAGGTAAATTTCTAGTCTAGTACACAAGTCCACATGATACAATATAACACCTATAATTTCTGATCCCTTCCCATTCTCTATTATAATAATTTTGGGGCTCACAAAACTTTAAATTAGTTCTGAAATCCAAGGAAAAATTGCTCTGTATTTTTATCTTCAAAATTAATAAATATTATTAAAAAATGCATACACTTACATTGAAGATAACAAAAGCCTGGGTTTCTCAACCAGTGTAAATATTTACAATGCAAGACAGTGATGAAACAGAACAATCTTACCATTGTTCAGTGAGGACATTGCCCACATTCTATATTGTACAGAGATAACAAAAATGCATTTTTAGGAAAATTCTGTGCTACATCACTTATTTTCCATTACATCAGAGACTAACAGTTGTAGAAGCCATTTACGAACAACAGGCACCTAATGAACATTCTTCACTATTGTTTAACTGCTACCAGGCAAAACATTCCCCTTAAAGAAGAGTAAAAAGAATATACTATTGATTATAATTCTGTGTTTTGCAGAAATGTGAAATCATTCCTTCTTTGTCTTTGGGTGAGTAAGAAATTTCCAAAGCCATGCACATAAGAATGTATTTCTTTTGAATGATTTATGTGTTAAATGTCAGGTAACTCTTTATTTACAGGTTTAAGTTACAACATGTTTTTGCGGTGGAAGTGTTAAGAAAATCTAGATTTCTGCATCACTATGACAAACCTTCAGAGTTTAAAGAAACACCTACAAACCACATTCTTTAGGACTTGCCCAAAGCAACTGGAGAGTCTAAAACCAGGGTCTTCAGAAGTTCAAGTGTAGAGTAAAAAGAGCAATGTACCAAGCATCCTGTACCTGATTCTTCTGCTAACTTGGATAACAGCAATGAGCTTGATTTCAACCCAAAATTCCCACATTTTAAAGTGCCCTGATTTCTGATGACAAACCCACTACCAGAAGTCGTTTGCTACCCCCCAAATTTAAAAATTCTAAACACATTTTAAATACAGGGAAATACCATGAGTCATTAAAGTACAACAGACTTCAGCAAGAACCTTTTATTGGGAAATAGGCACAGTATGTTTCCTTAAAGGCTTTACATTGCCATCTTTTTCCATTCTGATACTTCCCTGTACATTTGCCATATCCAAGAATCCCCCATGCAAAGGGCAATGTGGGAAGGACCAATATTATAGCCTGCATGAGAACTTGTCCTCCAGGCAGAACAACATGCTGGGGAAGTTAAGTCCACAGCTCCACTGACACTGCTGCCCATCTTTATTTCAAGTATCACCAATACAGATGTGTGCTCACTGGCTGTGGTTCAAGAAGGCAAATCATTGGAGTTTTTCGGTTTAGCCACTTCTGTGCAATGGAAGGATAACAGTACTTCCACTTCCCACCTCCAGGATGTTCCAGCCACACAAGGTAGCTTTGTGGGACGGTATTGTTCCTTGCCATGGCAGTGTACAGTACCTGGATCAGCACAGGCTGAAGTGCTACAGTAAACAATAACAGCACTACAGGTCTGAGTCACCCTTTCAGTTTCACACCTGCATTGTCACCAAAAATTGAGAGTTGCCAGGCAGACAAACACAGTATTTCTCATCAACTTCAACATGAAAATTACACTATGAGGAGTGTAAGAACCTCTGTCATAGCATTATCATTAAAAAGTAATGTATAAAGCCCACAGACAGAGTCCAATTCTGTGAGCAGAACTGAATCCCTTCCAGTGCCATAACAAGACAGCCTCTTCCAGCTGCAGCCTTATCATGGGATTTGTTAATGGGGTGGTTAAAAAGACTGCATATCCTATCATATTTTAAGTGTCCCAGATGTAGTTTGAAAGCCAAGCAGCTGATTTCAGATGGCTGACAAACAGTGTCACCCCAGCTCCCTGTGCCAGAGCTGACAGGGACACGCGCTGGCGGCAGCGGAGCGCCCGCGCAGTTTCCCTTCATGGGGATGTGACTGCACACGGGCGGGCTGGCACGCGTGCCTTGGCTCTGACCAGCCTTCCCTCACAACAGTGCTCTGTGCCACCCGAAAAGAAGGGACTGGCATTACTGAAACCCACAGACAAGGCATTCCTTACCACTGTCTATAAAGGGCCATTCATCCCTACTGTACCTAAAATAGCCACTGGGTGCAATCATGAGATGAATACACGACTGTGGATTCTTTTCAATCACTGCCTTCTTGCACAGACAAGAAAACAGTGTCCAGCAGTTGCATCCTCACCCATTGTCCTTGTTCTTAATTCAGCAATCAAGTGTTGACCCTTTCTGTCCCACCCAATATTAGTCCCTTCATTTCTAAAAGTATTTGGAAGTTTAGAGATTTTATGAGAAATGTAGAGAAACAGCACAAAACTCCATCAATCCATTCCTATGCACTTGCAAGACCTGTATGGAATCCTATTAAAGTAAATCCACACAACTTTCTATCACCAGAATTACAGCAGTAAAGTCCAGCTATCATCCACTAGCTGCTCCTTGCCTGCCAAACACAGCCAACTGCAGAAAGCTACTGAGACAGAGTGAAGTATCCAGGTACAGAAAAATGGGGCTTAGTAATGAGAAACACTTGGAACTGCACAGGTCTGTTTCTTGCTGCTGGAGAAGAGGCTGACTTGCAGTGCCCTTCTGACCTACCCTTAAATGATTACCAGTTTTTACCCTAGCATGTGTTTCAAAGCAACCTCCAAGTGTCCAGTAAGGGTGAGGCCCAAACCATCAGATAGCAAAATTCTGTGGGACAAAAGATGGCTTTGAAGGAACCTGGTGATAGCTGGAGCAATACAATGGAATGGATAACAGGATGCTGTTGCATATCTACAAGGCAGTAAAAGAAGCTGCTATATGAAGTTCTCCAAACAGACAAATAAAATTCAGGAGCATGGCTACATCACTCATGCCAACTGACATGTCACATTCTTCAACCCAATCACATTTAGAAGTGGCTTTTCTGTCTTTTCCCCAAGCAGATGGCCTTTGCTTTACATTTGTTTAAACAGGAGTCAGTGAGATGAGCCAAGAGTGCTAAACAAGGCCGATGCAACTCTGGTGCATATGAGCACTACTGTAAAACCTGAAACATTAATGGAGACAAAACCTGGAAGGAACCTGGAAGCAGTATTTATCACAGATCTGTTGAAACTGAAAGCTAGAAAAAAACCTTATTTATTTCTTTATTTATCAAGCTAAAATATCATTAGTCTTTGTGGAAAATCTACTGCTGGAGAAAGAAGCAAGCATTGAACTTGTTGAAGCTTACACCAACAGCACCCTTCGCTGCAGAGAGGAAAACCCACACAACTCCAGCCTACTCTCCCCCATGTTTTCCAGGACCCATACCAGCTGACTTTCTGGTTTCCCTATCTAAGTAGCTACAATTACAATAATATTCAGGGACATTTGCTCTCCCAAAGAGAAGATGAAAAATAACTACAAACAAATAATTTGAACATCTGCCAAATTAGGCTAATAGAGAGATAATGATGTATTTCTCTATTAATCATTTTAAATGGCAAATGCAAGTTTTTCTTTCTCAATCGAAAAAAAGAAAACTACCTCCTATTCCCAATGCAACAGATGTTAGAAAGTCAAGACAA